CTGTCAAGGTCCCTCTGGATGGCCTTATCTGGCTGTTAATTTTAGCAGTCTTCATGCTTGTGCTGCAAGCTCCCAACTCTGGAGTTGTCTGATTGTCTTGCTGTGGCTTCATCTGTCTGCACCCCTGCATGGTCACTGAAATATTTCCCTTGAGCGAACTTGTCTGCTTTCTGGGAAAATAAAAAAAGAACTCCAGAGGGTTATCCTGAGCTGGTGTCCTTCAAAGAACATGGTCACATCTCATCAGACACACTGACTGCCATTTGTAACTTCCAGGCATCTTGGAGACCTGCAGAAGCAGGGTTGCACCTTTGTAAAGCCTTCTGTCATTTTTTTTTTTTTTTGCATGAGGACAATAAACCAGCCTGAAGTGATAAATGCAGATAAAAATGTGAATAAAAGCAGGTGTGAGCATCTTCAGTGTCAGTGTTCATGAAGCAGCAGATGTTACTTATCACAGGAATTCTTCCTTGTGCTTTGTCAAGCTGTACATTGAACACTTAAGGTTCATTTCCATTTCCCTGGGAACACGTGCGTGCTGCCCGGCTTTTGCAGGTGGGAGGGAGCTATGGGCCATGTGAGCATACGCTGCTGCTGACAGTCTGTTCTTCAGGTACTGCACAGACAGAAGGTTTCCAGATCCGATTGTCTGTGACAGTGCATGGTGACTTACTTTTACTGTGACACATGTCATGCAGGGGCATGTGTCTGGAGAGTCTGTTTTGAAGGCTTACTGGTTGCTGCTAAGTGTCTTCTAAGTAGATGTAGTGTTTTGTGTACGTCTCCTGCAAGCTGCTGAGCTTGAAGGCACTGCATGTGTGTTGCAGAACAGGATTCTTAGGGACAAATTGGACCAGCGATTAAGAAAAAATGGTTACAGTTAAATGAAAACAAACTCAGAGATCTACACCTAGGAGTGCAGAGAGAACATGAGCTTTGTAGCTAAAGCACATCACAAAATAAGTCGATCTATTCTGTAGTTGGAAAAAGATACACATCACGCTGGAGCATGTAAGGGAATACTGCATATAGGGCACACCAGTACCTCATGAAGCAGGATTTTTGTAAAATAATTCTGGGTCTTCCATTTTGTTAGAGTTATGGGCAAATTAGAAATTCTAGAGGAAAGTACAAGTGATCAGAAATTTGGGAACCAAGATGGGAGATTTGGGCTGGGGACCAAGGTTTGGGTAATCTACAACAGTGGTCTTCAGCTTTTTTGTTTTGTTTTGTTTTTTTAACTTTGCAAGCATTATGTATTTTCTATGTTTGGAGTTGCAGACCAAATACAGGGCTTTTTAAAGCCTTTAGGTAGTAGGATGCCTCTTCAAAGTTATTTCTGTGAGTCCTTAGAAATAGCTCACTGACCATGGGCTGGAAGCTAGTGATCTGTAGAGGAGAAGTTGAGGAAAGGGAAGGAGATAAAGACAAAAAGCCATTCCCTGCATTCTTAGTGCTGTGAGACTGGAATAGCGAGCTTAAACTTCAGCAAGGAAGCATTACTTCACATAACAAACCAGTTTTTAATAGCATAATGTCACACACGCTTAGAGAAGCTGCAGAGAGTCAGTATGTTAGAGAAGGTAGATCAATACTTGGTGAGCAGGAGGAAGATGACCTTGGTGATTTCTGTGAGTTGGCTAGGACAGCTCAGTCACATTTAAAGTGATCGGAGTTGCTTTGCTTGTAAGGAGTACTGCTGAAGAAATACTGATTTATCACTGAAAGGTGACCACATTTCCATAGTGCTCACACTTCCATTTGCTACTTTGTGTGGGAATACGTCCTAGGGAATGGGCTTGGCCACATGAAGTACAAAACATGGGATGCTCATGAGCCTCTTTGGGAGATGAATGTGCTCTGCTTCTGAGGGGCTGTAGTCCAAAATGATAGATTCCAGTATTTAATGTGCTGTGCAGCAGTGAGATGAAAAAATACTCTTTACACCTTGTGAGTGAAGCAGCTTTGTTGTCATCTCTGAGCTGCCAAGAGTTGTCGTCTTGTTTTTCCCTTGTCTGGTCATGACATATGTTCTTATTTATTAGGCAGTGCATTTACAACACGTTGGTATTAAGCTGAGATTTAAGAGGTGTTTATGATTACTTTTATTAGCAGGTTACTCTAGGAGCCACCTAGTGATATGCTAATCCTAATAAAATGTGTATAATGACAACATATCCGTAGTTGTAACCAAGACATGCTTAAGATGTGCATGCATCCACATGTAAGTATAATTAACTTTTGTCTTTTCAGCTACAAGAAGAAAGATGCAGATTTGTCTGTGGCTCAGGGTCGCATCAAGGATCTTGAAGTACTCTTCCATAGAAGCGAGGCAGAACTCAATACTGTCCTGAATGAGAAACGCAGTCTGGAAGCCGAGGTGGCCGATTTGCGTGCCCAACTTGCTAAAGTATGTCAGTGAGTCCTTCCTTGCTTTAGCACAGGAGAGGCTGTGTGTCGCACAACTTGTTATTTTTCTTTGCAATTAGTTTGTAGTCTGAACATCATGGATCTAGCTTGCTTGCTGCTGATCCTTTCCCTGCCCCTCTTGTATATGAAACTCAATTGTAAGAAGTCTTTTTAAAACAACCAAAGCAACATGGTGGTTTAGAAATTTTGCTAGTCAAAAGCTTTTATTTAAAGATTTCTGGTGTTTCTGTATTGATGAGGGATCATGTTACTAAATGTCCTTTGTAAGGTACTGTGTAATTTCAGCTTATGCTGGAGTACTCAGTGGAACTATGCTAGCAAGGAAAAGAACAACATGCAGCATATTGTGATTGAGGAATTAATGATCCTCAGCTCCGTTATCATACTGTATTGAAATCCTACATTCTAAATAACTGGTATACAGACATGAAAGCGTGTTTCAAATATTCATAAGCACACACACACACATTTTCCTTTTTTTTTTTTTTTTCTGAAAAATCTATGGGTTGGCATTAGTTTTATTGTTAGTAATTGGTCCAAGGCTGTCAAATTAAGACCATAAATGGATTATGGATGGAAAGTAGGGATCCAGACAAAATTAAATCTTTATATTCAAAATTCTTTACTAGGCTGAAGATGGTCATGCTGTGGCTAAGAAGCAGTTGGAGAAGGAGACACTCATGCGTGTGGACCTGGAGAATCGGTGCCAGAGCTTGCAAGAGGATCTGGATTTCAGGAAGAATGTGTTTGAGGAGGTATTATCAACCCAGTAACCTCATCATAAACGGAAGTTTATGTAGCTTTTATTCAAACTATAAGCAATTACTATCTAGTAATATCCTACTATCTAGTAGTAGGGAAAATTGGTATTAGCCTTGCTGTAAGTGGGTTTAGTAATAAAATAGTTAATGATCTTGCAGGAGCTGGCACCAGAGCCAGGTGAGGAGGGTATTGTTCCATGGGCAGGTGAGCTAATGTAACAGCTGACTGCTGTGGGGAAGGCTTGGTCCCTCTCTCTGGAGCTGGTTGCAAGGCCCTGCTCCTTATTTGCAGGAGCTTTGGTGGTTGTTGGACCTGACTATAACCTGTTTTCATTTATGAGAAAGGAATGTGATTACCCTGCTTTTTGCAGGGGTAGTTTTCTGCCTGTCGAGGGAGTTGAATTGGCTCACAGTGGTTCTATCAAGAATCTGAGGTTTTATGAAGCAAACAGTGGGAATGCACCAGTGGGGACTGAGAAGGGGAAGCATGGCCTTCTCTCTGTACCAGACACAAAGTGTTTTGTTAGTTCATTCCATCTTGCAAAAACCAACTCTGACCTTCAGATCTCTGCAAGCTTATTCAGTTAGTGACTGCTGAGTAACTGCCACATGCTTCTGCCCTTCTCTTCACCTATGCCAGGTGGAATGTTTTGCTCACCATGCACCAAGCCATTTTGGCCTTATTAACTAGTAGAATACTTAAGGGTTTTTTTGGTTGAGTTTAATTCTTGCCAGCTTAGTGGCTGAGTTATGTCTTAACACAGAATGAAATGAGTGTCCAGACTGGAATAAGGGATGGGACAGGGCTGTGTGGCTGCTAAGGACAGGGGCTGGAGCAGGGCAAAGAAATCAACCAGGTAGATCACCCTGAGTTGGACCGACGCACTTGTCTCACTTCCACGTTCTGGAGTTGTTGGATTTCTGTATGCGACTGCAGTGACAGAGCCTTGCTTGGTTCTAGGGCCTTAAAATAACTTTGCTTCCTGAGGATTGTGTTGCTGCCGACTGAAGTTGAAGTTAACTGAGACAGCAGAAGCTAAACTTAAAGCTTGCATGCTGAAGCATTCCTTTAGCCATCCCTTAAGCTTTCTGATCCTTGTATGGACCAATTCAACACACAAAGAATAAGAGGAGTTGGTTTCCTTTAGTGAATTTATTTGGTTCAGTGACACATTCAAAGCTCGATTAGAATACCATGATTGGGAGTGTGGCAAGTGAAGCCTGCTTATTCTAGTGGTCCTGAACTTTCAGATCGGCTCAGCCCTCCATCTGATACTTTGTAGTCCCCCATGGTATTTTTGTGGCATCCAGGGGGTCTCTGCCTACAGTTACTGAGAGGCTGCTGCTTGCTAGTTTTCTTGGCGTAAAGATTCAGCACAGAAGGGAAAACTTCCTGATCACATCAGGACACATTGCTCTGGGTAGAAGGGCATGTTTCTAAGACTCCCTTTTTAGATGTAGAGCATTTCTGCAAAACAACTTGTGAAGTCGCGCTGAATCAGTGTTAGCCTGCTATGGCTCTAGTTTAGGCATGCAAAGCAACCCCTGCTTCGCTTGCCTGCTATTCCTCCTTCTGGCCTTGCTGCTATGCTCAGGCCTCCTCCCAGTACCCTGAACAGCTCTGTCCTACCCTGAAGGGAGAACTTGTTTCTGTCTCATACCATACATTCAGGCCTGACCAGGTCTCTGCAGGGCTCAACATGAATAAGTGCATGAGTGAGTCTTACCTCACTAGCCTGCGGTCAGTGTTCTAGACACAAAGAACTCATACTTCTGTCGACACAAAAACTTCTTAGTGCAAATTCTGACCAGAGAAAATTATAGTTGTCTTCAGGATTGCTTGGGTTGCTGCTTTATTGCTAACGTAATCAAAATCCATGGAGTAGAAGTCATCCAGTATATAGGGGAAGAGACAAGATCTACAAATGCATAAAGTGAAATTTGAAGAGGCAATTTTTCTCTATAGTTATTTTTTTCAATATATGTAACGGTCACAAAAGGCTTTCTTTTTTACCTGACTCCTAGCAGACTGCTGCTGTAACGTAGGGGTGTATGTTGAGAAGGAAAGGGTTTGTCGTGCAGCAAACCTCAACCCTTTCCCCTCATGCTGAGTTTTGTAGCATAAAACAGCTCCTTTAGGAACTGTATATGGATATTTTTAAACCTGGTTTAAGTCTTTTAAGAATTATATCCTGCCAAATGAGAATGGTAACTTGCATCTGTTAGTACATGCAGTAATTTGTAGCCTTAAATGCCTTTAGTACCGTGGCTATTAAATAATTAATACTGAAATAGTTGTGTTGTCCAAATGTGATTTCTTGTACTATTTACGCTAATGTGGGAATCTGTCCCCATTTTTTGTGTGTATGTAGGAAATAAAGGAAACAAGAAAACGACATGAACATCGCCTGGTTGAGGTGGACACTAGTCGCCAACAGGAGTATGAATCCAAAATGACTCAGGCCCTGGAGGATCTGCGAAATCAACATGATGAACAAGTCAAACTGTATAAGATGGAGCTTGAGCAGACCTATCAGGCCAAGGTAACTACTGCTATCCACAGCAGTGCCTGACACAAGTCGGCCTGGTGAGAAAAAACCATTTCCATCAGGACTACTGTCTTGAAGGAGACAAGTAATTATAATATGAAGAAGCTTTGTCCCAGTGTTCAACTACCTCTTCTGGTGCTTGTACACAGATACATTTCCAGGGAGCTCATAGCCAGTGGCGATAGCTATGAGTCACTTTAGCCGAGAAAGGCCTGTCTTCTGCTATGAAGGTATTTTTCTTGTCAGTAGATCCAGTTCTTCCTCCAAAATGGAGGTGGTGGAGGAGACTTGAAATAGGTGCAACACATTGGCTGTGAGAAACTGGAGGGATGGATTGGAGAGCTTGGGGAATGGCAGTGTTTCAATACGGGCCTTTGCCTGGATGCGTGGGCTTGCAGACTGTTACAGACATACAGAGAGGGGCTCCATGTCTAAGATTGCATTGTCACTTTACTCTTACTGTGGCCTTTGCGATGTTCTTACCAGTCCCAATACTCTTTGAAATATGAAAATGAAAGCCGTATCACATTTCAGTGATCTAAGTTGCTTCTGGATTGGAACATTACTAGATGCAGTTGTGGTTTCATTGGTGGCGGGGAGACTTCAGGCAAGGTATTGGACCTTTTTTGACCAGCTTTGGTGATGAAAACCATGGTAGATGATGAAAACCATGGTAGGTTTCATGATAGGAAATCATAGAATCATAAAATGGTTTGGGTTGGAAGAGACCTCTAGTCCAACCCCCCTGCTATGAGCAAGGACCTCTGCAACTAGATCAGATGTCTCAGATCTTTCTTAAAAGTCATCTTTAAGTATTGAAAGGCTGCAATAAGGTCTCCCTGGAGCCTTCCCTTCTCCCGGCTGAATAATCCCAACTCTCTCAGCCTGGCCCCATAGCAGAGGTGTTCATCCCTCTGATCATTTTTGTGGCCTCCTCCAGGCATGCTCCAACAGGTCCGTGTTTGTCTTGTACTGCAAACCCCAGCGCTGGGTGTTGTACTGCTGGTGGGGTCTCACCAGGGCCAAGTGGAGTGGAAATGTGAACATAGGAGCAGTTTAATCCAGGAGAATGCCACTTAAACTTCATAAATATTTGCACTCTTCTGCTTTTCCTGTCTGTGGTCGCACATGAGTGGAATGCACTTCACTCAAAAGAGAGAAGCAGTAATACGTTTTATTGAGGTTAAATAATAATTTGACAGCTCAGTAAGTTCAGTGGAGTTTAACAGTGGCTTAACATGGTTCAGTAAGTTTGATGGCAAGGTTCACCGTATTAATTACTGCATGGAAGGAACATACAAAGGAAAATTGAGTTGGAATGATTCACACAGGGACTGAGGACAAAAGAGTAAGGAGAACCCTCTTGTTGAGTCATGAGGTTCATTGCTTTCTAAACTTTTGGAGGCTAGGTGTGGGTGGATCCAATTTTAGTCTCAGACTTGGTCAATGGTTTATGTCCAATGGAGCTATCCATACAATGCTTATAATAACATTGAGTAGCTCCGTAGATGAGTAATGGTTCATAGTATTGATTCAGCATGCTATCAGTCACTGAGCATCTGTCCTGGGTAAGGGGTATCTGTGCCTTGGGTAAGGAAGGTTCTGTTAAGTCTATGGTAAGGAATCTCTAACCTTGAGAGGCGTCCCTGCTCAAGGGGAGGGTCACCTGGCATGCAGTCCAGTTGCCATTCAGGGGGAGCTGAAGTTGGGACCCTCTTGATGGTACTATTTATAGTGCGAACTAATTGGCTGCTGGTCAGTAGTATAGATGAGATAGACATTGTTGGTTTTGCTCTGATACCTTGTTCTGCACTTTGGTACTTTTGGGTTTCAAAACTGCCTTTCAAAATCGTTTTCAAGATCCCTTCACTCCCTTCTATGCAAGCCAGGGGCTTTCCAGCTCACAAGTTCACCCCAAGCATGTGGGGCTTGTTGCTTCTTAGTCAGCCTGAACCAAAGTGTGGTTAGGAGTCAGGTGTGTCCGTCACGCCTGTGTGAAACCTGGGTTAGCAAATCCCGGTTCATTTAGCACCGGGCACATGGGAGAAGTAGCAGCATAGTTATTGGTACAATCACTAGTTACAGGTTTGTGGTTTGGAGTTTTTTTGTGTGTCGGGGTGTGGTTATTTTAGTAGTAATCGCCTTACGTGAAGGAATTAGGCAGCTGCCAGTCTTGGGTTTGATGATTTACAGTTTGAGAAACATTGATGTACAAATACTGAAGTATTTCTTATAGCAGCAACAGTATAGATAATGGATACTAAACCCTGAAATTAAGTACAGGTAGCAGTCTTGGCATTATTCACAGCAGTTAGGAACATAGGATATTTGTGTACAATGGGATATTTGGATTGACTTGTGATGGTGTGAAGAAGGTCCAGGGTAGAAGATGCCTGGTGGAACAAAAAGAACTCTTCAAGATACAGACTTAGGGAATGAAAAAAGTGACAAGATTTGAATGGGGGTGTAAACAAATTACACTGCTTTTTCCCCACATTAAAGATGGTGGTTGTTAGGGATGAAGTTGGAATGCAAAGGGAAAAACGGGCTTAGCTGTGAGCTTCATTCTGTGGATTTTTGGATAAAAACATGTCTCTGTTCAGAGAACACCTGAGCTGTTCTGGAATATGATGTCAAAGCAGATTGATTAGTTTAGCTACTGAGCTTCTGCAGGATGAGAGCATCGTAGGTAACCGCTTGCTTCTTGCTTTGACGATGATCTTTGATAATAAGCAATAGAAATTCTAAATCTGAGGATTTGGCATTGTGACTGTGAGCCATCATGACTGAGGAAGTGAATGGTTGTCAGCATTCAAATGATTTTTATTTTAAACTTTACAGGTGGTAATGGAATATATGTTTGACTTGAAGTTCCTTCAAAACTCTTAGCCTAAATAAGTCTGTGTGTTTTCTTCCTTACTCAGAACCCTGTGACCAGAGCTAGTGAAGAGTGATTTTTATAAAGCTTTGTCCTGTGTGACTAAGACCATGTTCTGCCTGTACCTGTTTTTAGAATTTAGCTTAGTTCCCACAGTTTTATTCCTGGGTAGGTTCCATGATGTGTAGCAGAATTGTTGAACTCCAGCTGCAACACATGAAAAGGATGCTTTTTCTAGCTACCTACTTTGAAACTTAGCATGTAATAGCTTTGAACTCCCTAGTTGCTCTGTCAGATTTGGTTAAAATTAGCCACTAGACATGCCGCTTTCACTGCGTGAAAGTAACAGAAACTGAAAACAAATTGAATGTTGGCAACTATTAGAGAAAGGAAATACAACCAAAAGCATTGTTTTGCTTCCGGGGCAGGATGTCATCTGGAGTGCTGTGGGTAGTTTCAGTTTTTCTTGAGAAGGTAGTACAGCGTAATACAGAGAAGACTAACAAGGACAATTAACAGTATGAAACAGGTCCTGCATGAGGAAAGTTTAAAGTAAAATTTCACCTGAGAAAAGAGATGAGTCATGAGAAGGGGATGTCTGTAAAAGGATAAATAGCATGGAGAAGGTGAATGAGGAGTGACTGTTTATTTTTCAATAGAAGTAGGGACAGTGAATGTCCAGTGGCAGATTCAAAACAAACAAAAGAAGGTTGTTCTTCATTAATATGTAGCTAAACTCCTTGTCTTATAAATTCAAAGAGCAGAGACAAATTTCTACCTGAAAATTCAACTGAGAGTAAGCATCAGAATACAGTCTAGCTTAGGAGGTTCCTGAATTGCAAATGTCCAGATCAGGCATAATACCCATGGAAGATTTTATTGAGCTTAGTCCCTGGGCATCCAGGGAACTGTTAGATCAGGACATGAACTAGGTAGCCTTTGCTCTGACCCAGTTTTTGGAAACTGTAAGGCTGCTGGATAATGGAAAGACAAATAGACTTTTTTTAATAGCAAAAGCAAATCCTGTAGGAATAAGACTAAATAGATTTTCCTGGTCCTTAGGGCATTTCCTGAATCTTATACAATTCTTAGCATAAACTTACCAGATTTCAATTTAAAATAATTTCAGAATAAATGGCTTTTATTTTTTACTGAAAGGATATTTGCGAGAATCTAACTCATTGCAAGTGATTTGTATAAAACTTGCCTTCCAGTTGGAGAATGCCAAACTGTCCTCTGACCAGAATGACAAAGCTGCAGGTGCAGCTCGAGAAGAGCTGAAGGAGGCTCGCATGAGAATAGAAGCTCTTAGCTACCAGCTCTCTGGTCTTCAGAAACAGGTAAAGGGGCTAAATTTGCTTTCATCTCTTAATACAGAGCACTTTATTGTTGGGATATATTAACATTTCTGTCCCTTCATATTTTCTGAATTTACGGAGAGAAATCTTGGTTATGTTCATTTGGGAGGGAGATGAATTTTTAACTTTTTTACTGTACCCACATAAATGCCAACTGGGCTTGCCACTGTTCTGTCTGCCTAGGCTAGTGCAGCAGAAGATCGCATTCGTGAGTTGGAGGAAATGATGGCTGGTGAGCGGGAAAAGTTTAGGAAGATGCTAGATGCAAAGGAGAGGGAAATGACAGAAATGAGGGACCAGATGCAGCAGCAGCTTACAGAGTACCAGGAACTGCTTGATGTTAAATTAGCACTGGACATGGAGATCAGTGCTTACCGAAAACTCCTGGAAGGAGAAGAGGAAAGGTACGTACAGATTCCAGATTTGTTTCTAAGGACTAGCAGGTGTTATTTGCATTTCTTATGCTTGCTTTTTTACCATTTGAGCAGGAGTGCTCAGGTTCTATTTCGTTGAAGTCATGCTGGCTTCACACCACAGTGTGTTGCATGGAACAATTACAAGTGTTCTGATCTGGACACAATCTTTATCTTATTTTGGTTTTCATGATGGTCTCAGAGCACAGTGCAATGTATCATTCTGTGCTCAACGTTCATCTCTTCTTTTTTCATTTAAGTGATTATACTTCTGTGGTTTCCTGATTTTTAAATGATGTGGCCCAAGAATAGTGTGTTTAGTAGTAGGTACACAGGAGGGGAGGGTTGTCAGTTGTGGTGTTCTCATTAGCACTGCTTTCCATGTCACATAATCATACTACCAGGGAATTTCTCAGGGATAGGTAGCTTCCCCCTCCTCTTACATGCAGTCCTCCTGACAGACGGTGAGGCTGGTTTCAGCTTTGGGACATTTAACAGTCTGGTTACTGAGTAGCATTATTGCTTTGCGTGTAGTTCCCTGGATGAATTAATTATAAATGCTTGCTTTATTGTGTTAAGGTTGAAGCTCTCTCCAAGTCCCTCCTCCCGCGTTACAGTCTCTCGGGCTACCTCCAGCAGCAGCAGTAGCACTACTTCACTTGTTCGCTCTTCCCGAGGCAAGAGAAGACGTATTGAAGCAGAGGAGTTTTCAGGCAGCGGAACAAGTGGAATTGGCACTGGAAGTATTAGTGGCAGCAGTAGTAGCAGTAGCTTCCAAATGTCCCAGCAAGCTTCAGCTACAGGAAATATCAGCATAGAAGAGGTCGATCTGGAGGGCAAATACGTTCAACTGAAGAACAACTCAGAGAAGGTGAGTGTCAGCAGAACTCCTAGAAAACAAGGAGGACGAGCTAAATCAGAATGTTATACAGCCTTTTTTAGCACAAGTAGGTGGAGTCACTTGGAGAGCAGGAGCAACGTCTCAAGGTGCGTCATCTTGCAGTAATTAACAGGGATTTGAAAGGTGACCGTTAATGGTGTGCTAGCATGAGTGTAATGTTCGCTGCAGGAAAAGAACACCGTTTGTGTCGCAGCTATCCACGTGCATGCCAGTACCTTGCTCGTGTGAATAGCCTTGCTGGCTCTAGCAGACCTTTTTTGAGTGAAATGTGTATAATTTTAAATTTTGCTGACGGACCTTACAAGGTTTGCGCTGTACAGACTATTAATAGGTATAGAAAAATACTTTCAGGTTAGAATGCAAATGTCTAACAACCATGTAAATGAATTTATATTCATGTTAGTAACAGAGAGACGTAGAGAAAGCTCTGATGCCTGTTTGCTCTGTTTTGCTCACCTTCAATAACCTTATGACTCTCTCCATTAGGATCAGTCTTTGGGTAACTGGAGACTGAAAAGACAAATTGGAGACGGAGAAGAAATTGCTTACAAATTTACTCCTAAATATGTCCTCAGAGCTGGGCAGACTGTAACAGTAAGTTCTACTTGCAGTATGTCAACATGTTCTTTTGTTGATGCTATGGCAGTTGTAAATCTGATGTTTTCATGATGATCTTTCATGACGAAAACTTTGGTTTTCATGGATCTCACTTCAGAGGAGTGGGGTTTCAGTTATAAAAATGCAAAACCAAAATTGAATTTCTGCACTAGCATTTCAGTGTTTAAGACCATATTGGTTGAAGAAAAGGTTATTTCTGGGGGCAGGTCAAGGGCTGTTTGTTTTCACATATCTTTGCCCAGGTTTGGAACACTAATCCTGTGCAATCCCTTAATGAAATAGGAACGTTTCAGGGCATTAATTCAGTCTAGTATCCTAGTCTCTGTTGCCCAGAGCAGCTGTGGATGCCCCATCCCTGGAAGTGTCCAAGGCCAGGCTGGATGAGGCTTGGAGCAATCTGGTCTAGTGGAAGGTATCCTTGCCCATGATGGGGGTTGGAACTGGATGGGCTTTAAGGTCCTTTCCAACCCAAACCAGTCTGTGATTCTAGTAGACTTTAGTTAAGACTAGACGTTTTCAGCTTTAACTGTAACACAACAGCTGCTTTTCTGAAATTTTGTGTTCTGTTTTCAGTCTGCAACAGATACTCTTCCAGAAGAAAACTTGTCTTTCTTCTGATCAGTTCCAGCTATTTGTACTAAAGTATGCATATAAAAGATTAAATTATACACCACAAGCTGCATGTTATGTCTTGGCTCCTTACAGTATAGTCATTGAGGCAGTGGTAGAAGAAATGTGTATTTTCAGAAAAGAATTGATGGCTGCAATGCTAGATACATTTTTTTCCTCTTGTGTAGTTTGGGGTTTTTTGTTTGTTTTGGTTTTTTAATGGCTAGTGCTATTTTTTGTTCTTGGCTGCAAATCATATCTTACTACAGGTAACAGCATTGGTAAAAGCAGGGTAAAATTGCCATTGAAATTCAGAAACAAAACTGGTATGTGACAAAATGTAGGAGAATTAGGGGGTTCTGTATATGTAGAAATAAAATATGCATAAGTAGCTAATTACAGGTTGTCTTTCACTAGATCTGGGGTGCCGATGCAGGCGTATCTCATAGCCCCCCTTCTGTTCTCGTGTGGAAGAATCAAGGCAGCTGGGGCACTGGAGGAAATATCCGCACATACCTCGTAAACTCTGAAGGAGAGGTAGGCTGGCTTGTCTCCCAAACTCTTTAATCTTGGGGGAGGTGGGGAGGAAGGAATATGGATGATGACAAAATCCTGATTTTAAGATCTTCCCTATTGTCTTTTAAAATAAGACTGTTTATAGCACTGAAATAATTAAATATCTGTATGTATCTGAGATTTTTGGGAAATTTTGGGAAACTCTGATTATCATCCTGACTACATCCATAGGCTTTTTGTTCCTGTTTTAGAAAAACACCCTGCTAGTAGAGAATTTGTTTGGAACTTAAGTGTGTGTGTGTGTTCAGAATACACAAAATAAGTATTGCTGGCATCCAGAGTTACAGTATATGGTACTTAAAATATTCTGGGGTGCCCTGTAAATATTAATGTAGGAAGGTGGCTGTCCTCTCAGTGTTGGAACAGGTTTGCATGTATTCTGCATTGTCCTACCTCTGCCCACAACTGATTTGGGGGTTTTTTGTTATTTTTTAAACCATCCCTGCAGAAGACTCCTGCAAGGGAGGATCATGCATTGGCTGTTATTCTTAAACATGCCATTATTCCAGTGATCTGATAGAAATAGGAAAGTAAAACAGACCACAGTTATCAGTTTTCATGCTGCCTTTCTTGCTGGCAATTCTGTGGAAGCGCTTTGGGCAGGAACAGCAGCACAGGACAAGGTAGGAGGGAGGATTATTTGGACAAATAGAAAGCTAACTGGATTAATATTCAAATAGATGTGGTCAAATAGTACCTGAAATGTTTCAAATCCTTGTCTCTTCCCACTGAGGTTACCTTTAGTAATCCCTGCTTATGTCCCTGGGTGACTTCTTCCATGAGTAGAAATTTGCACCCCTGATTTCAAGGGTGCAAGTGTACAGAAGAATTTCTTATTGCTAAGAAGTGTTAACAATAATTTAGTAATAAATGAAGCTTCCTGGTGTTTTAGAATTCTTTTTATTGTGTGGTTTGGGAGACTGTCCTGATAACTGATAGGTGCAATTGGTCTAGAATATTTAGTAGGAATTAGGAATATTTTTGATGCTGTGTAAGCACTGAGAAACTTTAGTTTCTCACATTACAACATGCCTGAGGCAGCTTCTACTTGGGTCTGCTATGAGCTTCTGTAAAATTGACTAATGACCACCCGAAACATGCCTGCTTTCTCTCACATCCCTAGGTGATGAGAGAAAATTCCTGAAGCCAGATTACATTGCCATGCCATTTAGTGGGTAGACGTAGGAATGTTGTTGTGGTTTGCAGGATATTAACAGTATTTGCTTGCAACAGCTAACAAATCTAGGGCAAGTTTTTGGGCAACCCTCTAAAAATTGAGAGGTATTATATTGGTGGGATAGCAAAAACTTGAGATAGAGACTACTGGCCATCTCCTTACCTGTCATTTTGTGTAGGAAGTTGCAGTGAGAAGCGTAACTAAATCAGTAGTTGTGCGAGAGAATGAAGAGGAAGAGGATGAAGCAGAGTTTGGAGAAGAAGACCTTTTCAACCAACAGGTAATAAGATGCAGGCCAAATGTTTAACTTGTGCCTCATTGGTTGGATTAATCAGGCATAAGATTTAGGGGGGTTCCCTTCAACTTTTACCAGCTCTGAGCTTCCTGGTCCATTTTTCCAGTGGATGCTTGCAGGGGACGATCTCTGACTTGCAGCTCCACAGCATGACTACAGTGCATGGAGAGTACAATGTGAGCAGTTCTTCCTGTAACCACTGCTTCGGTCAGTAATGGTACAGCTCAGGCAGTGGCTAATGTCAGGTCAGGATGCCAGGGTATCCATGGAAGTATGCAACAGATCAGATTTACAGTATTGCAGTGACATAGACTATTTTTAGGGTTAGTATGATTAGTTTTAGCAGTCAGTATTCTTCCCATTCCAGCATTTGCTTCTCTTTAAAAAAAGTCTGTGCCATTCTTGCTGTAAGAATATAACTACTAAGAACCAAGAAAGCGTGAGTGCTTCTTTTGCTGCAAGATTCAGCTTATTGGTTTATTTTCTGATAGTATATACCTGCTGCATCTGAAATAACCTGGTTTTTTTAATAATAATACCTGTATGTTTTCATAACTCTTAAGTACTGTGGAATAACTGACCAGCAGTTGGCAGAGTGAAAAGGAGAAAGATACTACATACAGGTGATTTGAAATTTAAAATATTATTTGCAAATAATTTGAAATCTATTTCAGACTCGAGTGATTTATTCTCCTGATGAGTGGCCATTAGTAGCTCTTTTCACAAAGAACTCAATCTGTGCAGGTTTGAAGTTGAGTTCTGAACACTTTTTAGTCTCCAGGGGATTGAGCAATGTATTTGTAGCACAAAGCAACTGAAACTTTTTTGTTTACCAAAGAAGCAGCTATGCAGTATAGAACTCTCAAATGGAAGCATCATTTGAAATAAAGGAAGGAACTTCCTGGTTTAAAGCTGACATCATGATTTTCATGTGCCATCTGTATCAGCCTTTAACCTATGGAGATTAACCAATCAACCTGTCGTAGAAAACCACAACCAGAGTAGCTGTGTCTGAATCTTGTCTGTGGCGTATGCTGTGCTTTACAGTTGTGATGTTCCCTGAATGTGGCTAAACTACAGAAAAGCAACTCTTAACTGAGATAACCAGCCTAGGCTTACTAGCTTTTCATATTGTCAGAACTGAATTTCAGCTATGTCTGTCTTATTTTAGGGGGATCCCAGAACAACCTCTAGAGGGTGCTCAGTGATGTGAAGACAGAAAGAAGAAACTATTATTTGCTAACTTTTTTTTTCCATTTATTTCCTTTTATTTTTTGCTATTTTTTTCCCTCCAGAGCCACTGAAAACTATTTTTATATGCATCATCTGATTTCTTTGAAGTTTACTCCTTGGTACATTTTTATAGAAAAAATTCAAAAAAACCCTTTATTGAACAAAACTGCCAGAACTTTTAATAGATTTCTTTATTTTTCCCTCTTTGTTGAAACACTATATTGGAATACGACACTTTGCCCATACAGAGTTTAAAGTCTTATGTATAAACCTGCAGCAGAAAAGAAAGTTTTAAGTAAAATGGGATGAGACTCCTTGAGTGTACGGTAAATCTGTAATTGCATCTGTAACCAGGATATCTAAAAAAACCCCAAAACCCACCCAAACGAAAAAGCACCCACAAGAAAGCTTTTTCATCTGCACAAATCCCCAGGACAGATTCAAATAGTGTTTCATCCGTACTGGTAGTTTGTTGCCTGGTATCCTCAGCAGTGTCCAGCACAGGAAAATTAGACCCCAGGTTTGTTGAAAAAGCTGCCCCACCAAGGGAAGTATCAAAGGGAAGCTGCATTTTAGACATTGTTGGCATCTTGTCCGACTCCAGGGTTTGAGAGCCTCATGTCAAACATCTGAGTCTCTCAAGACCTTAGACCTTAGCATTTCGGAACATGCTATCTTAAGGTATGGAAGTGTCAGAACCAGAGTTTTAACTGTTTACACGGGGGTTTGGCACTGTCACAAATGAGGCCTTGTTAAATCATGGCCACAAGTTGTGATGTACCATATTTATGATGTTAAACACAATGATGTAATGCTTTTGATGTACTCAGCCTTAAACAGATTGGTTAAGATTTTAGGTGTTAAAAATATTTTTACTTTTGGCAGTGATAAATATTGGGGGTTTTAAAGGTTATCCTGTGTTAGTGTTGACTTTTTTTAATCAGAGATATATGCAGCTTCTTCATACTTCTCTTACATTCAGAGGGGCGTTGTCAGATATCTTAAGGAGAAGTATTTGCAAAATAGTACAGAAGTAGTGTAATGACTTTCAAAAAGTTAAAAAGAACTGCTGTTTAAGACACAAGCATTGCTTTGCACTGTTCAAATGCTTGAAGTCTGAGTGAAGGGAGGGTAATACTTTTTATATAAAATTCTTTGTATGAGTAACAGGTGATTTTTATTTCAGTATGGTGCATTTTGTATCTGACAGTGTCGCTTTAGCTTAAGGTTTCTTCTGCATTTCTGTGAAGATAACTGACTCCCAACAGGGTTAGTATTCATACAGTAGTACATATTTAAGCACTAGGAAAAATACTTGACTGCTCCAAAGAACGCATTGGCTACTGTATGAGCAAATGGGGGTTTTTTCCATTAGTTATTAGTTTGGATACAAAATTTGGATACCATTTGATGCGGGCATAGAATCCTGTTTTTACCTGCACTCTTGAACTCTGATCTTGTCATTCAAATAGTTTAGACTCATCAAACAAGATGCAAGGTTTGGATGTTTTCGGTGGCTTTTGGACATTATGTTCTCTGAACAGTATTGTGACTGACAGATATAACCTAGAAAGTCAGTTTAGTGGCTTTGACTGATGACTTTGTAATGCAAGCAGAGTGGGAACAGAAGTTTGGTGGGTTTTTAAATTTAGGGATTTATTTTGCCATTTAAAAATAAATCAGACATGCTAGTTTTCTCTATTTGAGTGGGGTGTCTGAATTACTGAAGTTAAACTAATAGGGATTTAGAATTATGTTTTAATCCATTATCAGAAAATCCGTTACAAAAAGCATGATGAAGATTTGGCTGTTTGGGCTACGGGAGAACTTATTGATGTACTTGGCTGGTTTCCTAATGTGATTTTCCCACTCTGCTTGAGTAGAAGGTTAAGTATGTAGTAAATCATGTCTATCTCTCTGTAAAATGTATCTAGTGAAATTATGTTTCTCAGACATACTGTTTTCAATTACCTTTTCTAAATTTGTTATGCAAATGATGCAATCCATGTAAAAGCATTTTTGCAAAGCACCTTCCAACCACTGGACCGCGTTTCCCTTTCTGACCCACAGCTTCTGTGTAATGTTTGGGGGCTTTTTGTTTCTTTTCTAAAGATCTATTTATTTTTTTACACTGGCCAGTTTTCAGATTGCTTATTCTTCTTTTAGATTGTCCTGTAAATTTAAGGTTGTTCTGTGATCTTAAGTGCTAAAACAATGACTGTGTAGTTAATTTGCATTTTTTCTGTGAGGTCCTGTCCCCCTCCCCCAGTAAAGAATGAGCTAGGGAAGGCAGCTTGAATGAGGAAAAACCTCTTGCTACCTGAGCCATAGTTGTCTTAACAGCTACTGTATGTGTTGTCTTGTAGCCTTAAGGGGCTGGTGCTTGCAATTCTCCGTGATGAGCACTGTGCCCTTCAGTAACAGTCTGCAGAACTCATCCTTAGGTTTGGAACTCTGTCCTTTCACTTTGGAAACTGTTTTATTCTTCAGTACCATGTTTAGGTATATACAGGTGTCCATACAAAACAGGGATTGACACTGTGGGACAAACCAACAGTCTAAATGTGTGTGATGCTGTCACCACGGTGCCTTCTAAAAGGCTACTAAAACCATGAGAAATGATTCCTAGCTGTAAAGTACAAGACACAGAAAAACTGCTGTATTCCATGTACCTTCTTTTTTGTGTGTGCATCTCCTCTAGACGCCATCCTCTCCTCTCGCTTGTGATGCTGAGCTGCTGCTGTATAACAGCACTGTCTTTAAAGTTGGTGCTCCATACTCGGAGGTGTTTTGGTTTTAATGAACCAAAAAGCACCATTTCTTTTTTCTGTCTTTGAGGGATTCCACCCCTCCCCGGGATAATTAAAGCTTTTTGTTCAAGTAAAATCCAGTGTTCCCTTTCTTTTTCCTACTTAATCGTGTATGTGAACCAGTCCTGCAGCTGGAGGATAGTCAGCATTTCTGCTCCAGTGTCTGATACCAGGTGTAGAGCTTGAAGGAGAAATAAATTTGACTTGTCAGGAGGAAAATGATTTTAAGGCTTCTCTGATTAGGGGAATTAACCTGTATAGCTTTTATCAGAGTTGTTACTTGATGTTCTTATTCCCAGAAAACAACTTCATACTGGATGAAACAGTAAAAACTATTCCTAAATGATTCTCACTGGTTAAGAGGGGAAGGCGTAACATCGTAACTGCAGCAGAATAGTTAGGGCAGTCTTTCCATTGTGGAGATTGTTACAGAATATCATACAAAACACCATAAACACATCCTACCTGCCCCCAAGTTCACACCATGTGAAAATGCTTGTGTCAGAGTCAGGCCATCTATCTGCAGAACCGTGGGGGTGTGGCACCCTGCAGAATGAGATATGGTTACAGACACCCTCTGACACTTCATGCCCCTTCCTTCTCCCTCGCTTCTGTATTTGCTACTTCAGTTGTGTCGCACTGACATTCCAAGTAACAGAGAGGCCGTGATTCCTTTGCTGCTGCACCGCTTTATTTTCCAGCGTCTGCCTAGGCTAGTTTGGGACTCCAGGTTTGCCCTGACGAAATCGGTAGCTTACACTGATGCATTGATCATTTACTTCAGCACCACCTTTCCATTGGATGGGAGCTGGCTGGCACAGTCTGTTTGTAGCAGGAAGCAAAAGTCTCAGGAAGAAAATACCCACCTGCTTCCCATGACCTGCAGTGTAAGAGCCAGACGAGCCTGTCTGCAGCTCGCACTGGTCATGAAAACTGTAGTGCAGTGCGAAGCACACCATACTGTGAAAGATCACTTCACGTGCGTGTTTATCCTTGAGCAACAGGACACCTCATGTTCAGTGCAGGGATCTTACTGCTTTTTATATTCCCGCTTTTCTTCTTTTTAATGCCCATCTTTAACTGCCACCTGAGCAGGGGTTAGTTGGAAGAGGCTTGTAGAAATCCGTTCGACATCCCAGAATATTGGAGGATCTGTTTCATTCGTGTGCATCAGGGAGATTTTTGTGCTGTACGTTTTCTCTCTTGTGGCCACTTCTCTCGCTTCCTCACGGTTAAGCCATTCTGCCTCTTGTGTCTCTTCTTTCGAAAGTCTTATCTCTGAACAAAGGCATATCCGTATCCAGTACTGGATGCTCTTGTCACTGTCGGGTCCAAACCCTGTGCGAACAGGGAACCAAACCTTGTAAACCAGTGAGTGGAAGGTGAGACGGCGATTGCATTTCTCAGAGCGTTGTTTTAGCTGAGTGTCAAGACAAATTGGAGAGTTTCTTTTACTTAAAATGGCCTGGGAAACAGAATTTTTATTTGCCCTTCAGTATGCTTAGCTTTAAACCAGTTTAAATAATTTCAAAGTGTTTTTTATACAAGACCATATTTACATGCAATTATTATTTGTAAACATAATGCCTTTCTTGAAATGTTAAGGTCTAGAGAGCGCAAAGGATGCTAATACCGCAAGACTCCGTGCGGAACAGCGCAAGCAGTGAATTGACCCGGAGTCCAGGAAAATAAAACGTGTTTTATTGAGTTGTGTAGTTAGCTTTTAATGAAGTGATGATTCCATGTTGATAAGGTAGATGTTACTGTGTATTCCAGCAATCCAGATCATACTTACACTAAAATTACAAGCAATAAGCTGTTTTAAAGAAGTTTAAGCCAAAACGCTTTCCATTTGGGCACAACAGTACCTTCTCAGTTGAACTCGTATTTTCATAACAGTGATGCCTTGTGACTCGAATTGACTTTTTTAAATGTGTTTGTTTTTTTAACACGACCTTTATCCTAGATAGCTCTGATTCTAGGTCACCGGTCAGTTTAACTGACCACTCCTGGTCAGCTGCTGCAGACAAGTTTTTGCAAGGTTCAGGTTTTGAAGGAGTTGCGAAGAAGAGTGTGAATTGAAATACAAAGACGAAAGGATGAAAACGGTCACATGGAACATAGGGAAACTACATTATGATCTAGACTTTATCATTTCGGAGTTGTTTTTTTTCTTTTTAGAATATGCATGCCAAATGTCTTGTCTTTTTCAATGATTTGTAATAGACATTTTATGACTGGAAACTTTTTGTACAACACACTCAAATAAATGTTTTGCATTTTATTTGTTTCTGGTTTATTGGTTTATTTTGGGCTGTTTGGGATTCCTGTCGGGCACCTTCCTGCTTGTGGGGAGGGGACGAGGCGAGCCAGGCTGTAAAGGATCCGCCGGGTGACGCGGTGTGCCCCAGCTGCGCCCGCTTCAGACTGTGCAGCTGCAGTGCTCGCGGGAGCGCCGGTCTCAGGGAAAGCAGCAGCGGGAACTTGGGTGGCTGGAGCAGGTCAACGTCCCCTTTAGAATCACAGAACGGTTTGGGGATCATCCAGTTCCAACCCC